TATTTCAGCACAATAACCAGTGCCTTAATCGACCAGAACCATCTTTCGGGATATTTTATTGCAAGTGTAAAAATTTTTTTAATTTGGGCTCAAGTCTCCTTCATTAACACGGAGGAGGCGGGCTTTATGACTTGTACTGCAGCCAGCCCCCAGGGGGCGATCTAACGGCCGAGACCTTCACTCAAACACAGGCTTGCGGCACACTTGGTTCGGACCAAAGCCAGCAGTGTGGTGTGAAAACGACCCAAAGAAGGCAGAAGATGCTACAATGTATCATTTATTACCCTTGGTCCTGACCAAATGAAGCGAACTACAGATGTGAAAGCACCCTAACTGTAATCTAGAGGCCTTTGACTTTCATATAAGCCACTTCTGATACTAAATGATCAACTAGAAGTCAAGTTATTATTGGTTGTTTCTAAAACTTGGATAGGCGACAAGACTTTTGTCAGATAGTGTACAATGCAAAACACAAACATACATACTACACAGTAATGCCCACTCAGGGCAGTTATATGCATCCTATGAACTGTGATGCTTTTCCAGCATTGATTTAAAGGTCCTAGGAAATGAAAATAAAGATATTTAGATGTTAGTATCAGTATTGTTATTGTTAGAATATCTATAAGCTAGTGTGCTCCAAAACAGTGACAAAATTCGTGTTTAGAAGATATAAAACTGAAATAAACATGCAAAGCTTATATGGAAGCATATGAGTAGCATAATTCAATTCAAAATGTAATATGCAAAATGGCAATGCAATATGTTAAATGCAATGTATTTCTGTATTTGAATTTGCATTTTCCAAGACATGAGCAATGTTTGGTGCAGAATGAAAATGTAAATTAAATTACATTGTTTGCATTTCTCATTTCAAACACTGTTTTAATACGTAAATTCTATCTACATTTTAAAGCTTCATAAGTAGCAAAATTAAATTGAAAATGCTATACACAAACTGAATTTAATATGAATAAAGTACAAGCATAAACTGTAGCAAAATGATCATTTAAATGTTATTTGTTTCCATCATCGATATTGACACAATGTGCATTAAAAGTCTCTCCAAATCTCTTTTTTTCCACTTGTGTTTGGTCAGGTTGTGGATTTCGAGGGTTTCATCTGTGCGCTCAATGAGCAGGGTTACCTTCTGAAGAAAGGCCACAGGATGTATCAGCTTCAGACCATATGAGTTATGGTGTTACACTGTTATTGTCTCTGTTTTAATGCAACAAATATTATATTTATATTACAGCATGTAATATGTTTCAGTATTTACAATGTTGAGAACTGTACATTGATTTAATGTACATAAATACACCGGTTAATTATTATGCACCTGTAAATAGTTTGTACAGTAGCAAATCATAGCCACATTTATGAACATTAAAGCAACATTTTTAGATTGTTTTGAATTATATGGATTGATGTTACTCATGTTCATTCCTGTTCAATACTGGATTCTGTTCATATGCTGTAAATATAGGTAACAGTGAGATAAACTTGTAAGAACCCACATGTAAAACAACTAATCGTAAAAATAAAAGAACATAAATATAATTGTATATATTGATTAAATACAGGGTGGGCCATTTATATGGATGCACCTTAATAAAATGGGAATGGTAAGTGATAATAACGTTCTGTTTGTGGCACATTAGTATAGGTGAGGAGGCAAACTTTTCAAGATAGATGGTGACCATGGTGGCCATTTTGAAGTTGGCCATCTTGGATCCAACTTTAGTTTTTTTTAATAGGAAGAGGGTCATATGACACATCAAACGTATTGGGGATTTCACAAGAAAAACAATGGTGTGCTTGCTTTTAACGTAACTTTATTCTTTCATGAGTTATTTACAAGTTTCTGACCACTTGTAAAATGTGTTCAATGTGCTGCCCATTGTGATTGTCAATGCAACCCTCTTCTCCCACTCTTCACACACTGATAGCAACACCGCAGGAGAAATGCCAGCACAGGCTTCCAGAATCCGTAGGTGCTGCACATCTTGTATCTTCACACCATAGACAACAAAGATAGAGGGGCCATTCTTCATCAATGGAAACCTCAAGGCCACTGGATATTTGAAGTTGCTACATGATGATGTGTTTCCCTCTTTATGCACTGAAGCTGGCACATTCTCTGAGCTTTTGCAGCAAGATGACGCACCACCACATTATGGGGGTCAGGTCCGAGCATTCCTAGATGAACAGTTTGCTGCATTGGTCATCGAGGGCCAGTTGAATGGCCCCCTAGGTCTCCCGATCTGACCCCCTTATGGCCCGTTTCCACTAAGTGGTACGGTACGGTTCGATTTGGTACGCTTTTATGGCCATTTCTACTGTCAATAAGTGTACCGAACCAAACCGTACCATACTACTTTTTCGGCACCCTTTCGAAAGGATACCAAAAGGGAGAAAGGGTAGCAAAAGGTGGAGCTACACGTGCAGCTGAACGCTGATTGGTTACAGAGATACGTCACGAGCTCGTGGAGCAGCACAAAACGTAAATAAAGGAACCGCCATGTTTTTTTAAAATACAAAGCCGAGACATTACATGGATGCACTATATGCATATAAAAATGGGATCCAGGCTCAAACAAACCTTGTTGTCGTCTCGATGAACAGACACGCAGCCAAGAAGAAAAATCTGCCGTGTCCTGTTGTTGTTTTTTACGAGCCCGTCTAAAAGTGCGAGCGGTATTCGCTTTCTTCCGGGAGCTCGCGATCACTTCTATATTTGATATAACGAACTTTTTGAGCTGTTGATAATAACGTGAGTGCGATTATTGAAGTGTCTCCGTCATCTGATCCCTTCAGAAAAAAAGGACAAGCGCAAGAGTGAAACGCGGAAAAAAAAAGAGAAGCCGTCAAAACACAGGAGCAAAATTGTTTTAGCAACCTGAATCATGAACAAACCGCCATGTTTATCTTCGCCTTTTGGACTATTATGAACTGGGAATGACAAATTTACTCTCTAACAGAGGCTACATGTGCTGGTGGAGATTACAGACACAGATGAGAGGTTTGCGCTGACTGTGGGCTATATTGCGTGTGTTTTGAACTCAAATAAGTATTAAATGTATGATGTGTGTAATTTTTCTGTAATTAATAATATATCGTAGACTGTAATGAGCTGTATGTGTTCATATATGTTGGATTTATGTATTTATTTTATATAATTACAGACGTTACAGTAGCCTACTTTGCACTCTTATTGATCTGCAGTTATAATCAAATCATGTCCATAGAAAAGTTAGTAATAAACATTTATAAACAAGTATTTATGTGTATAAAGCATCTGTTTTGTGGGAAGTGCTGCTCATTATGATATGTGAACGACCTGTGCAGCTTTACTGTTGACATTTATTCGAGCGAGCATGACGTCGACTGAAACTTTATCATACACCACGCCAAACAAAAGGGTACCCTTTGTGGTGGAAACGCAAGCCTGATAAAGGTTACCCGTACCGACCCAAACTGTACCGTACTGTACCTGTTAGTGGAAACGAGGCATTAGACTTTTATCTTTGGGGTCATCTGAAGGCAATTGTCTATGGTGTGAAGATACAAGATGTGCAGCACCTGAAACTACGGATACTGGAAGCCTGTGCTGGCATTTCTCCTGCGGTGTTGCTATCAGTGTGTGAAGAGTGGTAGAAGAGTGTTGCATTGCCAATCCAACACAATGGGCAATGCGACCCATTGTGTCATTGATGTCATTGATCACCGCACGATGTATTATGGGCAATATCAGCAGTTAGAGTATGGACGCATCAAAATTTTTTACCGGAAATAGAAAACCATGCGGGAACCTCTGGCATACTCTTTTCAACATACAACAGTTTGGGACATACTAATTCTATTTTCAAATACTATTTAGGAAGGATAGTATGCAGATTGGGACATGTCTATATGCCTAAATGCATTGAGTTGCTGCCCTGTGATTGGCTGGTTAGAAACATTGCGTTAACGAGCAGTTGGACAGGTGTACCTAATCAAGTGACTGGTGAGTGTATTATAGTATAACTCCTATTAGAGCACGTCTCCTTACCTGACACTAATTTTTCCATCACAACAAACGAAAACATTTCTTATTCTGGCCATATTGTTATAAACAAGAAAAACTTGAGTAATGTTGTTGGTAATACTATGAATTAATACAACTTTAATCTTAATTTTAGTCTATTTGTCTAAATGTATTGGTTTTGTTCAGCACTTTGGTGTAAATAAACGTTAATTATATAGCTTAAGGAAAAAATATATATATATATTACACAATTTTATTATATTATAAATTGATCTGTTGCCTTACTTGAACAGCATTATTTAGTTTTGATGTCTCCTTTAAATTTCGCCCCACCCCCCTAAAAAAGTCTGTATGGGATACAGCTGCGGATGCATAATTTTTCTAACACTGTACAACAATAATTACTATTTTTACATTACTGTGATGGTTAGGTTTAGGGTTGGGATGGGGTAAAAGTTAATAAAATACAATTTAATGGGTCATTTAATAAATAATATGAATAATACTCGGCATAATCTTTAATAAATTACTGTGATGGTAGGGGTGGACGGTAAAAAATACAGTTTAATGCGTAATTAAATGAATGATACTCTGTGAAACTACTGTTTTTACATTGCTGTGATAGTTGGTGTGGGTAGACCATAGACCAGGGGTCACCAATCTCGTTCCTGGAGGGCCGGTCTCCCTGCAGGGTTTAGCTCCAACTTGTCTCAACGCACCTGCCTGGATGTTTCAAGTATACCTATAAGACCTTGATTAGCTTGTTCAGGTGTGTTTGATTAGGGTTGGAGCTAAAATCTGCAGGACACCGGCCCTCCAGGAACAAGTTTGGTGATCCCTGCCATAGACTGTAAAATATAGGGGTAGACGTTAGCTGCCGGCCGCAGCTGTATCCCTTCTAAGTTACATCCCCACCCCCTTCTGACAACTGTCGTAAATATTCACAGGCGGATCGGAACACGGCCCTGACAAAAACATGTGGGTCGACTGTGAATGTGTTCAATGTTAACTAACATGAATGAAATAACCTCGAAATATGCTGCTGGATGCAAAGAAGTCGAATGTATTTATGATCTAGATTTATTATCGCGGTGAAGCAGCTGACATGTTTCTGTCCGCCTGTAAGAGGAGCTGGCGGAGCTGTGCTAAAGGACATTTCCACAGGCTGACCGTCAGCAGATACAACAATAACAACAACAGTAATAACACTACAGTACATTTCCGATGGCTGAACACCCTTAAAACCAGCTGTTGCAGCTTTTCAAACCGGACCTGCGGCTCTTGTAGACCCGTTCCAGAGCCGCGGAGTCCCGAACTAAACAAGCCGAGTATCGGGCTCCATCTGCGGCATGCAGGAGCAGGATTCACCGCTGCGCTCCGTCTGTGTGGATCTAGCGGGTTTTGCACTGATGCGTCCAGAAAGTCGGAGTTAGAGGACAAATACTTAAAACAGGATCCAAGGGAAAAGGGTGAAGATCCAGCAGCCTCTTCGCCTGCTAATGATGGGCACTTTCAGTTTAAAGAGCTGGTGAGTACACTGTTGCACTCATTTTCTTTAGTTTTTGGGGTAAAGTTGGGTTTATATTCGCAAATTCATTCATTTTTTTTATCAGTGACAACTTGTGACTTGGTATCCGTGTTTAGCACGCTACTTTGAATATAAGGTCTGAAAATAGCACGTAAGTATGACTTCAAAACAACTTTAGCTTTATTTAATTGACTGCTAAAACCCTGCTGAAAAATCCAGCTTAAACCAGCCTAGGATGGTCGACCAGCCTGGTTTTAGAGGGGTTTTGGCCACTTCCAGGCTGGTTTCCAGCCTGGTCTTAGCTGGTTAGGCTGGAAAGTGACCAGCTAAAACCATCTAAAACTAGCTTGACCATCCTGGTTTAAGCTGGACATAGCTGGTTTTGGCTGGGCTCCCAGCCTGGCTAGGCTGGTCAAGCTGGTTTTAGCTGGTAATTGCCCAGCCTGTCCAGCTAAAACCAGGCTGGAAATGGCTGGAAACCAGCCTGAAAGTGGCCAAAAACCCTCTAAAACCAGCCTGGTCGACCAGCTGAAACCAGTCAACCATCCTAGGCTGGTTTAAGCTGGATTTTTCAGCAGGGAAATCAGATTGTGCCAATGTAAAACCAGTTTCACCCCAATTGAAATCGCATGTAAGTATATTTTTACACTTATTTTCGTAGTATGCTTTAATTATTGGGGTTTATATTCTCACATTCAATCATTTTTGAGCACTAATAGCTTGTGACCTGGTATCTGTGTTGTTTAGCAGGCTACTTTCAATATAAGGTCTGAAAATAGCATGTTTGACTTCAAAACAACTTTATCATTATTTAATTGACTGTTAAAAGTCAGAATGTGCCAATATAAAACCAGTTTTACCCCAATTGAATTACATGTAAGTATATTTTGCACACATTTCCACATTAGACGTTAATTGTTGAGGTAAAATTGGGTTTATATTCGCACATTTGTTCAGTTTTGAGCAGTGGCAGGTTGTGACTTGGTATCTTTATTGTTTAGCACACTAAATTTGAATATTAGGTCTGAAATTGCATGCAAGTATGACTTCAAAACAACTTTGGCATTATTTAATTGACTAAGAAGTCAGAATGTGCCAATGTAAAACCAGCTTCACCCCAATTGAAATCACATTTAAATATATTTTTACACTTATTTTCGTAGTATGCTTTAATTTTTAAGGTAAAGTTGGGTTTATATTCTCACATTCGTTCATTTTCGAGCACTGATAGCTTGTGACTTGGCATCTGTATTGTTTAGCACGCTACTTTGAATATAAGGTCTGAAAATAGCATGATTGACTTCAAAACAATATTAGCATTATTTAATAGACTGTTAAAAGTCAGAATGTGCCAATATAAAACCAGCTTCACCCCAATTGAAATCACATGTAAGAATATTTTATACTTTAATTATAGAGGTAAAGTTGTGTTTATATTCGCACATTCGTTCATTTTTGAGTAGTTACAGCTTGTGACTTGATATCTATATTGTTTAGCACACTCAATTTGAATATTAGGTCTGAAATTGCATGCAAGTATGACTTCAAAACAACATTAGCATTATTAAAATTATTGTGAACAATGTTGTGCTTTAATAGTCATTGGCTGCTAATATGGTTTCCCTTTTTATATTTGGTAGACAATACTTACTTTCGGTAAGCATTTTATTAAGGAGAAAGTCTGAATGTGTGAATATAAAACAAGCTTGAAACCTTTCTGAGTTTATTTCTTCTGTTGAACACAAACATAGTTATTTTGAAGAATGTTAGAGTCGTGTAACCATCGATAAACAAATAACATCACGATATCTATTTTTATTGTTGTGCGATATATTGCTCCAAATTTATCACAATAATCATTCATTCATTTGTTTTTCTTTGGCTTAGTTCCTTTATTCATCCGGGAATGAACCGCCAACTTATCCAGCATATGATTTACGCAGCATTCACAGCACCACCCGCTTAATGTACTATATCTGTTTATTTTATTAGTTTTTATTATAAAAATTAAATATATGCTAAAACAGTGGTTCTCAAAGTGGGGGTCGGGACCCCGTGAGGGGTCGCGGGGCAATGAAGGGGGGTCGCCTGGTGATTTCCAAAAATCTATTTATTTTTATTAAACCATAAGAATTAACATATTTTATCCATAACTATACTGAAAATAAAAATAGTTGTTTATAGTTACTATATAGTTACTATAGTAGCTTATAGTTACTAGTTGTATTGAATTGCGACCCCTGGGGTAATTACATTATATTAAAGGCAGCAATAGCGTCAGATGCATTTTGATTTTATAACATCAGGTTATACTTTCTGGCACATTTAAAGTTCTGACACAAATTTAATTGGTGTGTCTGCGTCATTGCATGCAAGGTTTCTGTATTTATAACCACCTCAGAGGATATTGGGGGTCGTGAGTCACTGGCATTGTTATTTTGGGGGTCGCGGGCTGAAAAGTTTGGGAACCCCTGTGCTAAAACAAGAAACATGTCAGTCAGTGCCGTTAGAAAAATAATATTGTTTTTCCTCTTGATTAATCAAGTCTGTTCTTTTTTTGTTGACCTATTTTAACTATATTTACTATAAATTTATACTAGTTTATATATTTTTCATACTATTATTTTCCATTTTAGAAATAAATATGTAATATATGTAAATAAATATATGTAAATATATGTAAATAAAAAATGCTCACTTTATTAACACAATAGTTTGATTGACAAAAATGAAATTGTGTATTTGACATTTGATAAAACAGTAGATCGCTGAAATCTGGATAGTTTATAAATAGTATGGTCACTCCTAGGTCGTCAAACACTGGTGGATCATGTTAAGTCTCTTTTAATATTTGCACTTTGAACATAAATATTATGAAAATAATTTGTCGAAGTATTCTGTTGATTAATGCAGCAATTAAATTATTGCTTGCTTAAGTGTGTTGAATAATTTTTTTATCTGTTTAAATAATGAGGTGGCACGTTTGTTGTCACAAACAACAAGGTGTGGAATTTGCATGTTCTCCCCATGTTGGCGTGGGTTTGCTCCGGTTTCCCCCAATCTCCAAACACATGTGCAATAGGGGAATTGATTAACTAAATTGGCTGTACAGTGTATGAGTGTGTATGGTTGTTTCCCAATACTGGATTGCAACTGGAAGGGCATCCCCTGCGTAAAGCATATGCTGGAAAAGTTGGCCGTTCATTCCACAGTGGCGACCCCTGATGAATAAAGGGACTAAGCCGAAGGAAAATGAATAAATGAATACAGCAATTACATACTTGCATGCTTAAGTGTGTTGAATAATTAAATCGGTTTTCATATTATTATTGTGTATTATATTGACAGTATGAGAATCCATGGACTATTCCTAATTACCTCTGTATGGCGCGGATCGTCCTGTCTCCTGTCCTGGGATATTTAATCATGGAACAGTATTTCCACGTCTCTCTGGGGCTGTTTGCACTTGCTGGAGCTACAGATTTAGTAAGTTTAAGTTTAAGAAAATATCATCTCTACTGCTTAATTTGAAGACAAAATGAGCCATTCTGAATGTGATTTTGTTGTCTGATCATTGGTTTTTTCATTATTCAGCTGGACGGTTACATCGCTCGTAACTGGCCCAATCAGAAGTCGGCTCTGGGCAGCGCTCTCGACCCATTGGCTGATAAGATTCTCATCAGCGTTCTTTACGTCAGTCTGACATACGCACAACTCATCCCAGGTGAGAAGACTTAAGAAATCTGTCATTATTTAGTCACCAGTGTAGGATTGCACCAGCTGTTCCTAAGTTCTTGCTTAAACTATAACATAAAGTTCACGCTAGAGCAGGGATGGGCAAACTTGATCCTCGAGGGCCGGTGTCCCTGCAGAGTTTTGTTCCAACACTTGTCAAACACACCTGAACAAACTAATCAGTGTCTTCAAGATCACTAGAAATCTATAAGCAGGTGTGTTTGATTAGAGTTGGAGCTAAACTGTGCAGGACCGAGTTTGCCCACCCCTGCGCTAGAGCCTTAGTAACTACTAAATCTGTTCTTACTTCAGTTGCACCACATGTTTTTAAAGGGCCATGAAACCCCCTCGTTTCAGCAGGGTGTTTTCACACCTCTACTTTGGAAAAAATCAGAAAAGTGGGCGTGTTCAGCTCTGTTTAGGGGGGAGTGTCGGAGGAAGAAAAGAGGCATGGTGTGGGAGTGTCTATTTGGGCACGCGCTGACTTTCAGAATCAAAACACAACCACACACACAGGGGAGAATGTGACTGTGTTTACATGGACATCTGTAGTCGAATTATTTGCCAAATTATTAAATGGTGGACTTTAACTGCAGTTTGGCTCTTTCATTCAGGGAATTCATTGATGTCTCTCGTGACAAACGAGATATTTGATTCGAGGATCTGCTCTAAGCGTGTATTTTTCATGCAATGTTTGATACCGCACGGCGAATGAGAGAAAAAAACAACTCTGCATTTCCCGGAAACTTAGATGCACACGGCAGGTAGCGTCAGAAAGCCGCGTGTGTTATTCCGGTCACAAAATGCGGCGAAAATCCTACACGAGGTTAAAGTTTGGTTGTGGTGCTAACATGTTTACACTCGGTGCTATAGTTAACTTAGTTCGATACAAACAAACTGAATAAACAAAGAGCACTGGTCGCTCACTTACCAAATCTGTAGAGACAGGACAATCACCAGCAACTAGAGCCGCGTCTTTATGAAGAGAAGAAGCGAATCCGGATCTCAGCGTTTACAGATGAGAACAGCTCTCAGGTAAACAATAATCCTCCTTAGACACGTAAGTTATTGTTGTCGAGCGTCGCGTACACCTTTAATCCACACGTGACTCCAGCTGAGCTCAACACAGAGAAAATGAAAACAAAACTGCAGCAAACAATAAAAGCAACACTTCACGCTTGTTTTGCCAACACAACGTGGCGTCTCTGTCGTCTAAACACTGTGACAGTAATGAATATTAATGAAGGTGCACAATAGAGCGCGCTGATTGGTTTGAACCAAGCTTTACTCATGCATTAATGCAGCACACTGTAAGACGTAATAAGGCACACTCAGGTACAGACGTCCAGTCTGCACGCTGGAATACACGCTATTATATCATGGCCGTGACGCAGCTTCAAAAATTCGTTTCTAACCGGAAGTACGAATTTGCTTGAAATAACGCAAAAACAACCAATTTACACTTTTTAGTGAAATATAGGTGTCCTAATAGTGTTTTTAGCAGTGTGGGACACATAAACGACTGTCAACAGCTCAGAAAATTAGTTTTGGTGTTTCGTGACCCTTTAAATGGAACCTTTTATGCCTTTTATTAGATGTTAAATAAGTGCTCCAACATTAGGCACATTCAAATCAAGACTGAAAACACATCTGTTTAGCTGTGCGTTCACTAAATGAGCACTGTGCTACGTCCAACAGATCACGCTATTATGTTTTTCTCTTCTTTTTCATTCTTTTATAACCTGTTTTAACACATTTTAATCTGTTTTTATTTTCTTACGCTTGTCTGTTTTATTCCTGTTTATGTAAAGCACTTTGAATTACCACTGCATTGTATGAAATGTGCTATATAAATAAACTTGCCTTGCCTACTATTGGACACCTTTCAAACAAACAATTTACTTTTTATGCCATCTATTTTGTACACATCATGTTTATTAAAAGACTACAAATATTTTACTGCAGCAATCATCTTTTTTGTTAAATAATTCGTTTATAAAGGCTAGATTGTTTGCATAGGTTTATTTTCGACCATTTCCATGCAAACATTAATTAATTTTTACACATTAATTAATTAATGTATTCAGCTCCATAAGTGATTTAAATTATATTTATTTTAGTAGATACGCAAATATCAATTCAAATAAGTCTTACAGACTTGTATTATAACAGTCATCATTGATCATCCCACGGATAATTATTTTAGAAAATTATAAAATAAATGAATCCTCTCAATCCATTTGTGCATTGATATATGTATCGCTCTTTCTGTGAAATTTCCACTAAAAGTGTAGCTCACTTATTTTTGGGAATGGCTTTTTGTTCAATCTATTTGGATCAATGTGAATGCTTTCATTATCCAAAATAATTTCAATTGTTTATATTATTTATAGATGATGTTATATATGTATAAACCTTGTGTTATTTATTGGAAAATTGTATATCCATAAGTGTAAATTAATGTAAACCCCTTTGTAGCATATTCAAACAAGAACTGGAACTGTATTGACATACCATTCAGCATAAAGATTGACACCTAGAATTTTTGCTTATTGCTTATTTTAATAGCCTATTCATTTATATTTAGTTCCTTTTCATGTGCCCTCTCGTTTTCCCCTTATTTTTCTGATTATACTTTAGTATAGCCTACTTCATTGTAATTAATAATTGTAACTCTGTTGTTGTTGCAGTAAATAAATAAATGATCACGCAATGGGATCTGTCATCATGCAGCAAACTACGAGCCCCAAAGTGTACGAGCTGATGGCTCCGTTTTCAACTTCACCTAATCTCATTGATTGCCGTCTGCAGTCGTGCTTTATGTCAAACACACCTATTGCCTCAGTGAGACTGTCACCAATGGGCGGGGCTTTTCCTCTGATGACACATACAAAGGGAGAATGTCAATCAAAGCGTTTCTGCAGACTGTGTTTATCAAGTTTATTAAGCAGACGCATTTTTATGTTTATCAAATCAAGAGTGACTTAAAGCACATTTACACTTACAGTGGGAACTTAAACTATAAGGAACATGTGGTGAAATGTTTGGTTTATGTTTTAGTGTGCTTCCCTTTATGTGGTCTGAACAATATTTCACTTTGTACAAGTGCGTCAGCTTGCATTTGTGAAATGAGTCATTCAACATCCGTCACTATTACATAAAAACATCTGAATAACTAAGGGTCCAAAAGCATTGCTGCTGAGCTCGTTGTTGTTAAGCTTAAGTTATTGAAGCAAAAAAAAAAATGTCAGCGTACAAAATGACTGCTGTAGCTCTGAAATACAACCCCAAATCAGAAAAAGTTGGGATAGTATGGAAAACGCTAATAAAAACACAAACAGGTGATTTCTTTAACTTGTATTTTATTGCACACAATACAACAAACATTATTTAATGTGTTCCTCGTTTTTATTGTTTTTTTTTTTAAATAAACGTATTATAATTTTGGTTTTTGCAACACATTTCAAGAAAAGAAGTATTTACTACTTTGTAATGTTGCCAATCTTTTCTCACAACACTTAATAGACGTTTAGGGACTGAAGACACTAAAGGCTGATTTATACTTCTGTGTCAAACACCGGCGTATGCTACGGTGCTGACGCATAGTCCTTAGCCGTGGCCGTCGGCGTCGCTGACGTGCACCGCTCAAAAAATGTAACTACACGTCGCAACGACGCGTAGCGCAAGCTCTGTGATTGGTCGGCTTGGTAGCGCTGACGAGTCTGGGCGGGACAGAGAGCCGCGCGAATGGTGCGAGCCTGATGGAGCGATTGTTTACAAGTGTGGAGTCCCGTGAAGGAGCTCCGGATGGAAAGTTTTGTGTTTACTTCATAGTTAAAGTTGTTGCACGTCCGCCGGTTCCTGCCTCAAAATGAGCGAGTTTGAGCCACTTGTGCATCCCGGAAGTGTTCAGGAAAAGCAAAAAAGCAGAGAAACTCAACACAGGAACATTTACACCTCACTGCCAACTAGCGTTTCGGAAGTGTTAATGCAGACCAACAGAGACAGCGTGCAGAAGTATAAATGCACAGCCACGTGCGTTGCATGCGCCGTGGGTTACGCCGGTCACCTGACGGCAAAGTATAAATCAGGCTTAAGTGATGAAGGGTTTTAGGTGTAATTTTGCCCTATTCTTCCTGCAAAGTCTTCGTTGTTCAAAATGTGCCACACATTCTCTATTGGAGAAAGGTCGGGACTGCAGGCACGCCAATCAAGTAGCTGTATTTTCTTTCTCCGCAGCCAGGACTTTGTAATGTGTGCAGAATGTGGTTTTGCATTGTCTTGTTGAAATATGTGTGGGCAACCCTTGAAAATAAGGCAGCATATTGTGCTCCAAAACCACTTTTTAAGCATTAATGGTGCACCACAGAAGTGCAAGTTACCTTTGCCAAGGGCACTGACACAACCATATACCTTGATAAACCCTGGCCGTAAATTGCTCTTGTCCCAACTTTTTTGGAATGTGTTGCAGGTCTGAATAAGAGGATGCATGTTTACGAAATAAATGAAGTAGACCAGACAAAAATCACTACTTTTTATTTGCATTTTCTGTACTGTCCCAACTTTTTTCTGATTTGGGGTTGTAACTGATATAATTCAGAGCTGTAGTGTGCTCAAAACCTGCCAGAACTACTTTAGCTGTGTTTTTATCTGAAAATAACAGCACCCCTTGAAATGTACATCAGCCAATTAGAAGGAAGCGTTCGACTACCCTGTACCATAAGCAACACACTCGCCGTTTGATTAATAATAATTTAATTGTTGCAGTAATGCAGCACCATTTATTTCTTAATGAATCAGTCTTTTTGAATGATTCAATGAATCGCTCATTGGGAAAAGGATTTGTTTGATTTTTTTCATGGTAGGAATAAACCAGTCCCACAAAATATAGACATGTCAGTACACTCCTCTAAGGGAAACGCTGCATTATAACATGAATCAGATGTTTAAGTTTTGATGTTTTTTGCCTCATTATTTGATGTCTTTTGTTTTCTCTTTTAGCTCCGCTGACAGCGTTGATCATATCCAGAGATGTGGCACTGATCGCTGCTGTTTTCTATGTGCGCTACAAAACAGTCCCACCTCCAGTAAGTCTTCAACTTTTAAACCAGCCTTACAATGAATGCTGTTTTGTCACTTTAGGATTAACTATTTAAAAGTAATTAAAAAAGAATTACCAGAAGTACAAGTCATTTGTAATCTTTAAAGTGCACCTACAGTGCATCCGGAAAGTATTCACAGCGCTTCATTGTTTTCACATTTTTTATGTTGCAGCCTTATTCCAAAATAGATTCAATTCATTTATTTCCTCATTCATTCTGCTGCTAAACACATCCCCACAGCATGATGCCGCCACCACCATGCTTCACTGTAGGGATGGTGTTAGCCTGGTGTTGAGCGGTGCCTGGTTTTCTCCAAACCTAACGCCTGGCATTCACTCCAAAGAGTTTAATTTCAGTCTCATCAGACCAGAGAGTTTAGTTTCCTTTGGTCTGAGAGTCCTTCACATGCCTTTTGGCAAATTCCAGGCGGGGAGTGGCTTTCGTCTGGCCACTCTGCCATACAGGCCTGATTGGTGGATTGCTGCACAGATGGTTGGCCTTTTGTAAGGTTCTCCTCTCTCCACAGAAGAACACTGAAGCTCAGACAGAGTGACCATGGGGTTATTGATCACCTTCCTGACTAAGGCCCCTTCTCTCCCGATCACCCGGCCAGCTCTAGGAAGAGTCCTGGTTGTTCCAAACATCTTCCACTTACGGATGATGGAGGCCGCTGTGCTCAACTTTTAGAGCAGCAGAAATGTTTCTGTAACCTCCCATAGCCTTGTGCCTCGAGTCAAACCTGTCTGGGAGGTCTATTCACCTTATTCTCAGCTGACGAGCGGGCGCTGCCATTTGAATCTTTTTGTCTCGCGTAGGGTTGTAACAATATACTGGTATGACGGTCTACCACGATTTGAACGTGCACGATTATCATACCATGAACAATTGCATATTAACGGTTTTAACCCTTATCCGATTCATACAATTCAAAGATTGGCATAAAGAAGAGAATCTCAGCTTTCCAGTGCTGTGTCACATAATATTTGCAGACTTTCAGAGGCTCCGGAATCAGTGCGGTTACGTCATCAAAATTTGACAACGCTGATTTGACAAAGAAACGCTCGTCACTGTATCTCCGGACAAACCAGACATGATACATTGATGCATTGTCCCTCCTCCATGCCCATTTTGGTTCAAACTCACTATATCACAACCAATAAGCATAGGTTTCACTTTTGTTTGTGGACCAACAATGAGCGTTTTGAACAACACGGAATGAGAGATAGGCATACATTTATGCGCGGCTAAATAAAACGCAAAAAAAAAGTTTTGCATGAAATAATTCTCATACTAAGTACTTTTGCATGCACAGCAGCACAGAAACATGACAAAACAGTGACACAGCAAAGACGAACTGCTGCTCTTGCTGTTGTCAAAAGACGCAAATGAAGGTGCAGCTGTTTATCTGCATTGCAGACAACCATATCCAAATCCATATCCACAGACAACCATATCCATGCTGGCACATAAAACCTAAGGATGTTCCATATTGAATCTAGTTTCGTTATGTAACTATTTATAGTATAGTAAATATTTATATCTATTTTTTTCCTGAGGATTTGCACCATGTTTATTTGGACTTTATTTGGACTTTGACACATTATTTATTATTTTCTTATTTTTTTTATTTGTTCATTGTAAGTGGTGTTGTTTATAGTAACTAAAAATATATTATTTGGAAAAAGTCAAATTTGCTTCACTGTTCTGTTATTTTGTAACATTTGTAACATACCGTATACCGCGAAACCGTCAAACCGTGGTATTGTTTTAGACGATTATCATACCGTAAAAAATTCATACCGTTACAACCCTAGTCTCGCGACTTCCGGTCACATTCACTTCCATTCATTTTTTGACGTTAACAACTGCTCGTTACGCTGCTTGATGTTGCAATTTAATATTTTCTTATTATATTATGCTACTTGGTCTGTGTAGTCATGCAAACATTTGTTTGTTGAGCAAGTAGTTTGACCATTTTCTGCCGTTTATTATTCCTAGTCATTTCTACCATAGGCGACTGAATCGGAAGTTCTAAGACAATCGCGAAAACAGGCGCACTTCTGCATTTTAGAATAAGGTCAATAGACAATTCCTTTGTCTTCATGCTTGGTTTGTGCTTTGACATGCACTGTCAACCCTGGGCCCTTAGATAGGTGTATTCCTTTTTAAATCATGTCCAATCAACTGAATTGACCGCAGGTGGACTCCAATGAAGCTGCTGAAACATCTCAAGAATGATCAGTGGAAACAGAATGTACCTGAGCTCAGTTTAGAGCTTCACGCCAAAGACTGAATACTGATGTAGATGTGATTTTTCAGCTTTTTTATTTTTAATAAATTTGCAACAATTTCAAAAACTCTTTGTTCACATTGTCATTATGAGGTATTGTGTGTAGAATGTTGAGGAAATCAATGAATTTAATCCATTTAGGAATAAGTCTGTAACATAAAAATGTGGAAAAAGTGAAGCGCTATCAATACTTTTTGGATGCACTGTATATTAAATCAATAGTATGAGTAGTATGAGAATCCATGTTTTTTTTAAATGACCTCCGTGTGCTGTGGATCGTTTGTCTCCTGTCCTCAGATATTTAAATATAATATAATTATTAACAAAAATGAAGATTGGCTTATACCGAACTGTTGAATTATTGGTTGTTATTGCCATGTGAGGATTGATTTAAGTCACATTAATGATCTGTCTTTATTTTCTGTGCAGGTAACGCTCAGTAAATTCTTTAACCCTTGTTACACCACTGCCCGACTCAAACCAACACTCATCAGCAAGGTACACCGAAACAAATGTGTCTCTCTTCATAAAACCTTTAAGTGGACCCATTATGCAAAAATCACCTTTTATAAGGGGTTTAAACACAGTTGTGTGGCAACAGTCTTTAAATAATACCAACTTCCAATGGTAAACATTAATAAATAGTATTTTTTTTATAATCACACTTGATAAAAACAGTCTATAGAAACTCTTTGATTGAAATTCTCCCTTTGTACGTATCATCAGAGGGGGAAAGTCCCGCCCACTTGTGACCATCTCTCCCTCATGAGCATAGGATGTTTATCTTGTTTTTGAATCTGCCACTATGCTGACACATAGGCATTTGTAGCTCCGCCCTCTTCTGAAAAGAGCACAATCTTATTTGAATTTAAAGCGACAGTCACCAAAACTCCACAATTAGGATCAAAGCCTAAAATGGTCAGTTTCAGAGAGTTATAAAACCTTATTTGTATGGTTTTTTGAGCTGAAACTTCACATATACACTCAAGGGAGATCAGAAACTTATTTTATATCTTGTAAAAGGAGCATAATAGGTCCCGTTTAATCAGTGTATGGCTTTTTTTTTAGAAGTGCTTTAATTAGTATTTCTCAAAATATCAGATGGCACTAATATATATAGGATGGCACTAATATACAGGGTTTCTTATAAATGCTGGAGTTTCAATGTTGTGTTTTCAGGATGACACATATAATTTTGGAGAAAGCTCTTACTGTTCAGTAGAGTTTATTATGTGAATATTTCAATATTTACAGTTAAACACATCCTTTGTTAACAGTTAAATCATATCAAGTCATAAAAAAGGGTATCTGGCAGATCTTAAACTGTCTTAAATCTCAAAATCTAAATTTTAGGCCTTAAAATGTCTTAAATCTACTGCAATGTTGTATTGTAGGTCTTAAGTCTTTTATTAACAGGTCTTCATTTTTCTTTGTTTATGTATAGTTACCCAATCTGGCCATTAACACCCATACAAACACTATCAATCCATCTCAATAAAACTTTTGATTTACTTTTGAATTACTTCGAGTAACATTTGCTTAAAAGTTCTCTATTTATTTATTTACTGCTGAGCATACTGACCTGACCAATTTTTTTTTATTATTAAATTGTTATTATTGTAGACTGAAGGAATTGACAGATGTTTTGTTCTATTCTTGATAAGGGTTATAGGGTTTTTGAAAATTAATAAAAAAAATTCAAATTAAATTATTATTATTATTGTATTTTTAAATGTATTAAATTAATCATTTTTTGATTGGGCAAGGGAAAAAAAATATATATATGTAACTTTTTTTTTATTAAGATTTTTTTTGGGCCTTTTTTGCCTTTATCAGATAGAACAGTATGGAGACTGGAAGCAAAGTGGGAGAGAGAGAGGGGTTGGGGTTGGGAAACGTCCTCGAGCCAGGATTCGAACTTGGGACACCCTGACGTGCTACAGCACCATATGTCAGCGCGCTAACCATTAGGCTATTGCACCAACGTGAAAATCTTTTCTAACAAGGATATTCGGGAAAAAAAACCTTAGCATTTAGCCCTGTATAAAGAATAAGGTCTAAAATTTTATTCATTGTGGTCTTAAAAGTGTCTTAAGTCTTAGATTTACTTGGTGAAACCTGCAGAAACCCTGCAAAATAGCATAAAAGAAGTTCCTGAAAGACTTAAGATATTAAGAATTAAAAAATTAAGATATTATTTGGCAAACAAAAATTACACAAAGTACAACTTTTGAGTGTTACAGTGTGTTTTATCTTGGCTTGAATGAAAACAAATGTTGCAATGTATCATGTTTAATAATAATATCTGAATACCGAACCTTGATATGCAATAATGGGATGAACTATGTGTAATTTATCATATTTATAAGTGCCAAAATATAAATTTGACTTTGGTGAAGTGTAAAACCTCCATTATGACAATATACTACAGTAATTTATTGTAAATATAGTGTTTTTCAACCTAACTATAGTAAAGTACCTGACTTTGTTGTGGTAATTGTATATTTGCTATGGTAACACAACTAGAGTAATATAAACAAATCACCCAATATGTAGGTTTTACTACCATGTAGGGTATTTTATACTACAATTACACCAGTTTACTGTAGTTAAAAATAAAGTATACCACAGTATTCATTACAGTTTATCAGCTCGCTACAGAATTTATTAACAAAAAGTTGTAAATACTATAATATATACAGTATAATTCACTTTACTATACCATAGTTAAAAAACAGTATAGTATTTAATATCAATTACTATGGTATATTTGGTAAATGTGGGCATGGATATAGAAATGTTGGCTAATACTGTAGCTATATGGTCAGTATTAAATGACGGCTGATGTTTTCAGTATTTCTGTACCACATTGTACATTGTGATCATCAGTTATCTTCATATTTAAAAATAATTGTGTCAGTAATAAAGGAGCTTTTTTATTTTATATTGTGTCTTGGATTAATCACATTATTAATGTAGGAAATCTAATAAATATATATATATATATATGTGTTTCAGATCAACACGGCGGTGCAGTTGTTTCTGGTGGCGGCGTCTCTGGCTGCTCCTGTGTTTCATTACACTGACAGTGTTTTACTGCAGTCACTGTGGTGAGTGAGAGCATTTACATTCACACTCACTCACACACACTCTCACACACACACACACACACACACACACACACACACACACACACACACACACACACACACACACACACACATATAAATAAATAAATAAATCATTCATCATGACCAGACCCATGCAGAATCAGAACACAGCAGATTTCCACAAATGGTTGAGCTTGTCATTCAGTCCATGAGAGATTCATATTTTTCATCACATTTTTAAACATTATAGTTTTAATAATTCATTTTTAATAACTGATTTATTTTGTCTTTGCCATTTATTATTTTGTAAATAATAATAATAATAATTCCTTACATTTATATAGCGCTTTTCTGGGCACTCTAAGCGCTTTACACAATGGGGGGATGGTAAAAAAAACTTTTATGCCCTCATAGTATTTAATCAAATATCAAAACGTTCCCTTTCCTTCTAGTCACATAGAATGCCTTTAGGGTGGGGCTATTGGTCAGTTAGGGCAGGGTTATCAGTCTTTTAGAGCAGGGCTATCAGTCTTTTAGGGCGGAGCTATTAGTATTTTAAGGTGGGGCTTAGTCTTTTAAGGTGGACCTATTAGTAATTTAAGGTGGGGCTTAGTCCTTTAGGGCGGGCCTATAAGTAGTTTAAGATGGAGCTTAGTTTTTTAAGGTGGACCTATTAGTAGTTTAAGATGTGGCTTCGTCTTTTAAGGTGGACCTATTAGTAATTTAAGGTGGTGCCTATTAGTAGTTAACATGGGGCTTAGTCTTTTAGGTGGACCTATTAGTAATTTAAGGTGGGGTTATCAGTCCTTTAGGGCGGGGCTATTAGTAGTTTAAGATGGGGCTTTGTCTTTTAGGTGGACCTATTAGTAATTTAAGGTGGGGCTTAGTCCTTTATGGCGGGGCTATTAGTAGTTTAAGATGGGGCTTAGTCTTTTAAGGTGGACCGATTAGTAATTTAAGGTGGGGCTATCAGTCCTTTAGGGCGGGGCTATGAGGACGTGTTTTGTTTCTGCCCTTCATTAATCTTCATCCATTTTGTTTGCAATGCCCTATTTTTTTCAACGATACAGTTTGTTCACAAAAGTTGAAATCATGCACTGCCCTATTTTTATTTTTATTTTTCTCATTTTAGGACCATTTCAATTGGATAATACAGTCTTAACTTCTGTTTCATGCTGACTATAAGGGGGCTAATAATATTGACCCTAAAAACTGTTAAAAGTGTTTTTGCACTGTTAAACATCACTCGGGGGGAAAATTATAATTTTGAAAATAATTGTTTGTTTGGTTGTTTCTTTGTTTTTACATTTATTTCAGTTATATCATTGAATAATATACAAATGTTAAGATGATTTGTGTACATTTTCTAAAGTAACGTTTTGTATTACTTTTAGTAGAGTTATTATACAAAATTTGAACAAAAAAAAGTGTTTCAAATTGGATTTGCATTGTAAACCTTAAATAAGAAGTTGTACGTGTGTAACCCACCGGTCCTACTGCACCCAACCTAGTCCGGCAAATCTTTGCATGGGAGTCAGTTGCTCTAACAAGGAGGCTTAAGACCATGGCCTGTCTGTCGCTAGAGCACCTTTAGAGGTCAGAGGAGTGAGATTTACCTGCATAGCACTTCGCTAGCTGGCCTCCGTTACACACGCCCTAAACCTCACTAGCATCCCGGACGAGCCCTCATGTGTTCCTACTGCACCCAACCCTGTCTGAGCTGGGATCGAACTGGCAATTCTGTACATGGAAGTCAGTTGCTCTAACATGGAGGCTAAAGACCATAACCCTAGCATTTGTCGCTAGAGCACCTTTAAAAGTCAGAGGAGTGAGGATTACCTGCATATTTATTTATTTACTGTTTTCAGGTGCTATACAGTCAAAATCATTCTTTGTATATCTTCCAAATACATTTTTTTTAAATATTATATTTTATTATTTTTGACTAATTTCTTCACTGAAATAACAAAAGCGTCTACATATTCTGCCTGGCTCTGGTCATGACTCTAGCACTACTTTGATTATTGAATGAAATGAAATAAATGTGTATTGTGTTTGTTTGCAGGTACATTACCGCCGTGACGACTGCAGCATCTGGTTATAGCTATTATCATTACGGTAAAAAGACTGTTGAGGTGCTGAACAACACTAAGTAGTTGATCAGTCGTCTGTGATTTGAGCTTCGACCAAGACATGTGGAGAAATCAGTCGATGGAAATTGATCTTACTTTTGTAACTGAGACACTTTAGTCTGTACAAAGTCAGAAGTTTATTTTGATTACGATGTTCAAATCATGTGGTGTCGCGTGTGATCAGTATATGATTTGCAACTCCGCAGGAAGCTTTTTTTAAATCACTTTTAATGAACTTTGGGTCAATTTTCAGAATAAAAATGGACGTCAAAATCACATTTGGTTTTGTTTTGATGTTTTATTATTAACTGTAGTGGGTGTGTGTTGCTTTACTGGAGAATCAGTAAAGTCATTACAATTTTTAGGCAGTTTAGTTATATATATATTATATATATATATTATATATATCTATATAATTATATATATTATTAAATCTAAAGTATAGCCAGAAAAATAAATCTAAATGCCTCTGATTGGCTGAGGAATTCATAAACTCAACTGAAACATAATTCCTTGTAATATTTTACCCCCTTCACTGAAAAAAATTATTCAGCGATGACTCCTTGGATTTACTCAATATTTTTACGTAAGGTGGTTGTAAACAATTTATCTGTGTTGAATTTAAACAAACAAATTAAGTTGAACATTAATAAACCTAATTTGTTTGTTTAAATTCAACACAAATAAATTGTTTGCAACAGTTCTGCATGCAACACTTTTTTCAGTGTTGTTGATATCAATGAGCCTGTGACGATTTTAGGAGTAAAAAAAACAGTAGATCAATTTTTTTTTTAATCTGCGTTTAATGATATGTCACAGCACTGCTGCTCTGATGTGTCCTCATTCTTGGTTTGATTCATCAGACTCTTCCTCCAGCATCGGCAGAGAGTCTCTATCAAACACATACTGCAGGCATTGAGGTAAGCCAGAGATCACACAGCAGCTCAGAGCACTTCGGGAAATGTTCATGTCACACACTTCCACCCTGCACAAAAACACAGAAAGGCATATAAAGAGACTATTTTAATATATTAAGGCCTATAATAATACTTTCAGTTGAATTAAACACATCAAACTATTATTGCATTTCATTTTACTAGACTGATTTGTGTAGATTAGATTAGATTCAACTTAATTTTCACTACACATGTACAAGTATAGAGCAACAAAATGCAGTTTAGGTCTAACCAGCAGTGTGATCGCAGCAGTGCAGGATACAGGTATAAGTTATAAAGTGCAGTTATAGAAAACGATGGTGATATTTACAGATGGATGTATTATGAAACATGATATACAGGTCATATGAACTAGATGAACATAGTGTACAGGTTGCTATTAATAATCGGGGATATGCAAATAGATATGAAAATAATATACAGGTTGGTATTTGCTATAAACAGGAATTATAAAGGGATATGTAGACGTGTAAATCACTAATTTACAAATGTATTTGAGCTTGTTGACAGTTTATATGCACATAAATACATGTGTGCATCATGAGAGTGGGTTAAAGAAACTCGCTTGAAGGAACTTGGATCTCCCGTAGAGTTGAGTTTTACCGTTATTGAATCCATTCAGTTGATATATTGGGACATCTTAGCTTAGCTTAGCATAGATCATTGAATCAGGTTAGACTGTTAGCATCTCGCTCTAAAATGACAAAAGAGTTTTTAAATGTTCCTATTTAAAGCCGAGCAGCGTGTAGTAGCAATGATATCATGCAGCGCCCTAATATAGTTCTGAATCATCCTACAAATGTTTGTCGCTGGAAGATTTTCTAGGTTTTCCTTGAGTTTCTTGATTATTATGCAGGTTTAACACCGAGCCATATCAGTTTAGAAATAGAAACCTTTCGTTTTCCATTGGTCTTAGTACAGGATTTAACTATAGAAGAGTCCAGCTTTAGACAGGACAATTATCGAAACTCCTCTGTCATTTTTCAGCAAGATGCTAATAGTCTAATTCAATTCAGTTATCTATGCTAAGCTAAGCCAGACCTGCCAGACCTAAAAATGGGCTAAATGAGTAAAAAAAAAATGATTCCGAGGATGCTTTCTCACTATAATCGATCCGCTCCTGAGTTTCAATCGAGCCGAGACCACCTCTTTCAGGCGGTCTCGGACAGATTGTTTTGGCACGGATCAGAGCTGGATTCACATTCACATATGCCAAATGAACCGCGCTAATGGGGGAAACGCACCAGGTTCCATAACACATGTCTAGGTGTGAAATCACCCTACCTCTTATATGAGCCTATTTAAAAAAAATGGTTTAATGAATTAATGAAGATTTTATTCAAAGCATTTAGCTTATTAACACCTTTTTACACAATTGGGTAACAACTGATTTACAGCCGTTGTGTCAAGCTGATTGCAGGCAAACTGCAGTGTGTTTGTGAACATTACCATTCATTTGTACTCTGGTTGTAAATCTCCACATCAGAGCAGGTCCTGAATCCATTAAACCCACCAACAACTATCAGCTGATCGTTCACAACCTGTGTGGAGTTTGGAGAAAACAAATCATTACTTGTAAAATCTTTAATGTGGGAATCTTTAACGCTGCATATTCAGCCAAACCCTCATTAGATGACTGTACTTCACCTCAATGCCGAAGTTGCTGCGTGTGTTGATCATAGATTCGATGTCATGCCAGGAGTCAGTGTGAGGATCGTAGGCCTCGACACTTCGCAGACGGCTGGAACCATCAAATCCACCAACCTTAAAACAAAGATATGCATCTCTCTGTTAATATAAAGCGTTTGGTCTATGATATTCGGCTTATTTTGTACATTCATTAGTGCTGTCAAACCATTAATCACATCTGTAATTTGTATTTATATACAAATCTTTTACACACATTCATATCTGTCATGTACATATCTGTATAACACTTATCAGTCATCATACACCACACTAAAATAACATTTACAATAATAATAAAGCAATTATACTCACAGCATAAATTAGATTCCCAAAAGTGATGACGCCGACTCCACTGCGGCGGGTCCTCATGGGCTCAATGAGGCTCCACTGGTTTGTTTCAGGATTGAAGCTTTCAGCAGTGAAAAGACACTCAACCCCCGTAAAACCACCGCAGATGTAAACCTGCCGAACACACACAAAACCAACACACTTTCAGCATTGATGCCATACAACCTGTACAAGACAAAGGTTTCTGCAATAATCGGGGGTAAACATGCTTACCTTGCCGTGCAGTGAGGTGGCGCTGGCGTCGCTCCTCCGCTCACTCATGGGTGATATCTGTGTCCACTGATTGGTGTTTTTATTGTAGCACTCTGCTGTTTTCAGGCGTGCATGTCCATTAAATCCACCAATGGCATAAAGGAGGCCGTCCAGAACAGCCACACTGACATAACACCGCCGTTCATACATGGGAGCCACCTGTTGTATAAAGCACAAACAAACTTAGTACTTACTGAGTAAGGTGAGTATTCCTGCATACAGTGGCCATGTTGATAGGAAAGTAAGCTATTTTCATTGGACATCACTTGAATGGTAAATATTGTCCCTTGCTCTGCCAGTTTCTGCCCGGCTCCTAGCCTTGCCGGTCCCATTCCGGCTACTGGCCCAAGCCCAAGCTTTTTGCCTACCAGCCCCATTCTTCCTTTCACCCCTATTGGCCTCGATCCGGCTCCTAGCCCTGCCGACCCATTTCCAGTTCATATGCCTGCCAGTCTCATTCTAGCTCCTAATCCTACCAGCCCCATTCTGACTTCCAGCCTCATTCCAGCTGCTAACCCTATCTACCCCATTCTAGATTCTAGCCCTGCTTGTCCCAGTCTGGCTCCTAGACCTACTGCCCCTATACTGGCTTACAGCCCTTCCGGCTCCATTTTGGCTTCCAGCCCTGCCAGTCCCAGTTCAGCCTCCAGCCCTGCCGGTTCTCCACCAGCCTCAAGCCTGACCAGTTTCCCACCAATCTTCAATCCTGTCGCATGTCCTCTTGGGGTCCTTCACTGGTGTCATCAGCCATCCCACCATAGGCTTCACCTTGAACTATCATCATGGCTGTGGTCTGGGTCTCATCAAGCGTCTCCTGCACCAAGTCTCCATCTGGTCCCCTTGAGCTGTCCTGTCATCTCTCTGGTTCTTACTCCTCCCAGGTCGCATTGATCTCTCCAGTCATATCCCTGGCTTTTACCTTCATCTGGTCCCTCCTGTCATCCCCCTGGCTCTTACCACGCACTGGTCCCTCCTCTCATCTCACTGGCTCTTACCCCTGTCTGGTCCCTCCCATCATCTTTCTGGCTTCTACTCCCATTTGGTTCCTCCTGTCATCTCCCTGGCACTTGCCACTGTGTTGTCCCCCCTGATCCCTCCTGTCAACTTTCTGGCTTTTACCACTGTCTCGTCCCTCATGTTGTCTTCCTGACTCTTACGCCTAACTGCTCCAACCTGGTTCCTCTTGTTCCTGATTCCTCCCTCCATCAATCCCACCCTGGCCTCCTCCTCTACCCTTTTGTCCCAAGTCTACCTCCTAGTTCCTCCCGCCATTGTTCCATCCCACCCTGGTCCTTTGCCCTTCTCTATTTGTTAACATAATTTTTATCAATCTTTTTAGAACCTTATGTTAATATCATATAATACCATAGACTGTGTTAAGTTTCTGATAACTTAGATAAGATAACCTATTAGGTTTTTAGACAATGTTAAAAAGCAGTAAACAAAAACTACTTTAGATAGATCAGAAACAACTCACCTCATGCCAAGTATGAGTGACTGGATTGAATTTCCTGACGCTGCTGAAATAATTCTCGCTGTCAAATCCACCAACAGCGTAGATAAAGCCATCGAGGACGGCCACGCCATGATAGGCTCTGGGAAGCTCATTCTCCACAGTCACATCTTTCCAACAGTTCGCTCTTGTGTCATATGCCTCAATCCCATTGGTCGGATTGCCAATGCTCCACCCGCCAATGGCCAATAGGACCTCAGAGGGCATACGTTGGCGTGTCATATAACTCACGAGGCCAGAGCTGGTGGGTTCCACGTGGAGGTCAAAAATGACCTTCATCGCATTGATGATAATAAAGGAACAGGCCTCATTCTCCAACACCAGAGGATTATTCCTCACATTGTTCATGAAGTACTCTGGTGACATCAAGCCCAGTCGAACCTAAAGCACAGTGAGGAGAGGAGTTACAGCCTTATCAATCTCTGAGAAGACTACAATCAATAATGAACTACAGGAATATGTAGATTTTTAAAGGCAGACAGGAAATATTAGTTACTTTTTTGAATGGCAATACAATA